GAAGTCATAGAAATTATTGAGAATGCCATATACAGATAAGAAATATAATCTGTTAAAAAATAAAGGAAATCATGAACATATCTATTTGTCTCTATAGATTAAATAACAGTCAAGATGAGTGCAATCAGATTAGTGTACTGATTCAACTTGATATCTTATAAGTATCTAATTCAAAGACATAAGAAGATTAAATATACATTTTTTTTAAGGAATACAACGTTATACGGATAACATTTCTACGTATTATTCATAACAAATAAATAAAAATGTCAATGATAGAATTTATAATTTAAATAGACATACTTTACTCTATTTGTTTTACAGATAATGTTTGAACAAAAAATAATCATATATAGTTAACACTTATGGAATTGATTTCGAACCCGATCGAGTTTGAATCTCAAAATTTTCTATTGATTAAGTTCATATTCGAAAATGTTTGGCTTCAACAGAAATAATATCTTGAAAAAAGTTATTGTTTGTGTTTGATTCTTTCAAACTACAGCAAAAGATTAAGATTATTATCATATTTAAAGTAGTAGTTATTATCAGGTCTAAGATATTTGCGTGCAAACACTTGTTCATTCGATAATATACTCGCTTGAACACTTTCGCCTCATAGTAGATGATCGTCGAAAAGGTTTTATCTTAATTTCTGAACTGATTAATTGATTTAAGAGTAGATGTGACTGAAGACAAGATTCATGTATATGTTTCACTCACACGCAAACAACCTCTACATTTCGAATTTCATAAACAATATGTCGGATAGTTAATCACTCAAGCAGAAAGTGAGATGGTTAAACAAAGAACTCGAAAATATGATTGCAAGTTTACATATAGAAATTAAAATATATTGGACGTTTATTGTCCATATAAATTCATTTTCTACAATTTACTTGCGTATTTTTGTTCAATGTTGTTGCTTTTTATTTTAATATGCAATATTAAGGAATAACTAAATACTATATATTTAAATTTCATGTGTTCTTATTACTATCGCTCGCAACTGCTCGGCTTACATTCTTGCCATAGTAGAAGAAATTCAATAGAAAAATTACGATGATTTTAATTGTGTTATAACAAAACAATTGATATGAAGTACTATCTTATTTATATTTAAAACAAATTAGAGAAAAACAAAGGACACAATCTACTAATGACATAAGAGCAGTCAACAATTCATTTTAAAGGGTAGAGTTCCTATAAGTTAACAGCACACGAAATATTTTTATCAAGTCTTTCATAAATCATAACATGAATATTCTGTAATAGTTCTAATGTTTGCAATTCTATCATCAGTAGACAGCGAATGCTGTTTTATTACTCTTCTGTTTTTGTTAATCCTACTATCCTGTACAAAATATTTTTCTGTTATTTGATCATAACGCCGATGACGGAAAATAGATTGCAAACAATAGAGCTTTCGACTTTTTTTTTATCAAGATATTCTAAAAGTAAATTATAGTATTTAATTTCGACGTAGAGAATGTATTTGAATCTATACTTATATACATCCGTTGTCAACAGTTTTTCACTCTTGATAATGTAAACCAATTGCTATGATTAAGAAAAGATGAATACCATAATTGATATCTTATCGCAAGGACATCATTATTTGAGAGTTGTTGAGAATCCTAGAATGGTTTGATTTTCTGAAGCTGCAATCTTGAGATATCAAAATTTTACTGAGTTTTTCGTCTCTTACAAGTCATGCGAAAAACTCACTTTCAATTTTTGCATGAACAAAATTTTTAATGATACTAGTTGGTTGTGTAACTATAGTATTACTTTGATGAAAATGTAAATATATGAACAAAACTTACTTTTACATATGACAGAGTTTCGAATATTGGATATCTGAGGATAGAATAACATTCATTATTCATTGATTTTGCCCGTATACTACTCAATAAATATTGTGTTTTCATTCACAAAAAAAACATTCGTTTGAGTTTTAATAATAGTGCGCGTCAATGTTGACGATCAACACATGTGAGCAATTGAACAATAGATTCGTCGACATTTTTTTAAACTACTATAAACTTCTGATTAATCGAATATAAATGTAAACATTGACCTATCACGCATAAATATAGTATTATAGATTATGTACAGTCAATTTCTATTCATATGATCGATTATTTTATATAGGATTATAAGATTTGAAAATGTGAATAAAACTACAATTGATCACTAATGGATAAGTGAAAAACATGTCTGTTGTATATTATTTATTGTTTATGTGTAGCTGAATCCTAAAAACATCATCATCTTGCTGAATGAACTTTTCATTCACACATTGATTAATTTATAGATATTTGTCTTGAAAAATACTTTCAAATATTCATGATAATCATCAATCAATACTAAACGTCATTAGTAGATCATTAAATTAGTTCATTTCATCAACTAGGAAATTCAGTAGAAAATTTGGCAAATTATTATAGTCCAATAAAATGATTTCGACAGATAATTTCTTTTTTTTTTTTTAATGCAACACTAACATTGTGTGCGTGATAGTCTCTGACATAATTTAATGAAGTCAATTATTAACGCTATACATGAATACTTATTAGTCTGATGAGAACGCAAAACAAGCGAAATAATGTTTGTTTATTTTTTTTTTTCATTCACCTATCATCATTTTCTTGTGATAGAGGTGAAAAGATAACACGGTTCACTTAATAATTCAATGACAAAAATCTAATATCTAATTTTGGTCACGTTGTACATTCGCTATATATATATATAATGTTAGAGAGACTAATACGTATATTTGAATAATTATCATTTAGTAAATCTGTGTTTGTACATCACTTCATTTTATATATTGATCGTTGCTAAATATGATTAGCTAAAATGAAGGAAGATATAGAATCATAATCCTACTATAAGATCTTAATGTCAGATATATCTTGTTTTATTAAGAAAGTCTTTTATCTTTTTTCATATATGCATATTCTCAGATAAAGGCATTTCGAATGTGCGCTGTACTTTGGTACATGCTTCTCTGTTGAATTACAGCATGTTAGAAATATGTTTTTTGTTGTAATAGGTAGTTTTCGATTTCTCACATTTCATTTTTATGATAGTAGAAATAAATATACAAATGTCATATTCATTTTATATAACATTTCTATTGCATTGATATTTTAAACAAAAAAATTACTCAAGTATAACTATTGATTGACTCACGTCAATACAAATATTCATTCAATAAATTGATGTTTTACGTTTTCATTCAAACAATAAGAATTTCAATACAATACTTATTATTCGAGTACATTTTGAGTATATTCAAGTTAATAAAAGTTCTTTTTTATTATTTAGTTCTTTCAATAAACAAATATATCACTTAATTGAAAAAAAAGTAATAAATTATGTATTCAATTAATTCAAATGCATTTTTTTTTAAACATTCAGTTTTTTTTTTTATTTTATCGTTTGATCTTTTCAGTAGTCATTAACTTATGACATCCTTGAATACAATGCCAAGAAGAAAAAAGAAGCGAGCGACTCATATAGGAATACATTTCTTTTTTATTGTTCATTATTCAATTCTCTCGGAAGCATAAGTAGAAATAAATTGATCGAAGATTCGATCATGCATATTCATCATGGACATATTAACGTTTAATTAGCCTGAAATGCATTTGTTCCAGTATAAAAACAAAGAAAAAAAAAAAAAAGAAGACTTTCATTAGAAACTCTTTCCGTTCTATTTCTTTCTATTGGGTTCAGTCTGAATAATCAACGAGACTCATTCTATTGCTTATATATCCGATAATAACACACAACTGATTCAATTTCCTTCCCGCATCTCTGATTTGATTGTTGGTTTTTTTTCAGGGACACTGTGTTTTTTTTTTTCTTTCACTCTTTCTTCTTTATTAAATGTTACATAACTTTATGTGTGCACCCTGTCATAAAACACGACTAAGGCAGTTTGTATGTGTTCACACTAGCGATACATGTGAGAAATTATGTGTGTGTGTGTGTGTATCCGCATTCTCTTCTCTTTTTCTTTTTTCTTTTTCTCTTCTGCAGTATACGATACATATGAATACCTGTACGGATTCGGTCATCTATATTAAGCAAAGAGGAAAAAAAAAGAATCATTTTGATTCCAGTCAATTCATCAATCATTGAGAGAAAAACGAGTCCTCTGCGTCTACTTTAAGTTTCTTCAATTGCATTATAGGTAAGTGTGGAGAATTTAATTACTTTTATCATTAAAAGTATTTTCTTTTTTATCTATTGATTAGAAAATAATACGATTAATCATTTAAAACAACAAATAGAAAATCTTTGTTAGGTTTTATCCATGTAAATAGTTTGATAAAAAAAAAAAGTAAACTTATATCTTAGATAACATACAATAGTTATGAAATTTTATTTATATCGATAAGATCAAATTGATCTTTTTCTATATTCATTCTATTGTTTAAAAAATAAATCATCGGATCTATAATAAAAAAACAACAGTAGATTGATCAAATTTTGCCCGAGGAAATTACTTTTTTTCTTTCTTTATACTTTTGTTTATACCACTACTATTCATCACGTCATTTTCTTTTTTAATAAATTGTCTACTAAGTTTTTCTCTGACCTCACAACTAGAGAAAAAAAAAAGGAAAAGAGTGAACAAGATGATGAAATAGATAGGACTTATGTACCGACCGACCAACCTTGTTAAATAAAGAAAGAACAAAAAAAAAAGAAGTTATCTTGAAATGTGTAGATGAAGAAGAAAAAAAGAAAAAAAATGGAGCGTTATACCATTCTTAACAATAGAACAAAAAGTGTGTGTGTATGAGAGAGAAAGGATTTGATTTCATCTTCTATTCATGTTTGCATCATGAAAGATAAGCGAGATAAAAATAAAAGGCACTATACAAGAACAAAAAAAGAAATGTTTCAATCTTAGTTTGAATTTAAGACGTACACAGAAGATCAATTCAAGATTTGTTCTATAGTTTTTTTTGTTTGTTTTTAGAATGAAACTTATCTTTGTATCTATTCTATTATGTGCGACTATTTATGTCGCTTGTGGTTTAAAATTACTTGCATCATCATCACGTCAATTAAATCGTCGAGAAACGAAATTTATCAAACGATTAGTCAAACGACAAGCTATTAGTGGTAACAAAGAAATTAATAATATAGATGTTATATATATATTTTTTTTTAAATTTAGATACCAAATGTGATCGTCGTAATTGTAAGACTCCAAATTGTGGCAAAGATTTTGTAGCAGCTGCTTTACCTGGAGAATGTTGCGAAAAATGTGTACCATGGGAATATGCTTCAAGTTTAGGTATTCAATATCCACAAGCACCACCACAACCAGCTTATGATCCTCGAACACAACAAGGTTATCAATATAATCAATATCCATATAATCAACCACAACAATATCAACCACAACAATTTCAACCACAACGTGTTGATGTATATATATTTGGACCTGATGATGGTGCTCGTGTATCAACTGGACAAAGTATTTATTTTGATTGTGAAATTGTTTCACCTTATAATCAATATGCTCAACCACGTTGGTCACGATCTGGCAATCAGGTTAATTACAATTTTAATTTTGGTTTTGTTTTTTTCTCGTTAGAATATCGAATTTTTTTTCTTTTGTATTTGTATTCTAGCCATTACAATATAAAGTACAAAGTACAATTCTTCCAGGCAATCGTAAAATTGCACGACTTACAATTCCTGATGCTACTCATAGTGATGCAGGTCGATATGAATGTAATGCTGGTACTGGTAATCCAAATGATCAAGCTTCAATTGATTTACAAGTATATAATTTCTTTTTCTTGTTTTGAATTGAATTTATATTTTATTGATTTATTTAAGGTAACTGATGGTGGTTACTATCCTCGACCACAACCACAACCTCAACCTCAACCTCAACCACAACCTCAACCTCAACCACAACCTCAACCTCAACCACAACCTCAATATCCTCAATATGATCCATATAATCAGTATCCATATAATCAACCAGGTTACTATCCATCTCAACCACAACCTCAGCCAGTACCGCAACCACAGCCACAACCGCAACCACAACCATCTCCTAGTGATGAAGGTGATGATACAGATCAAGAAGAACCAGCAGCTGAAACTACAACACAAAAACCAACAACAACACCAGCACATCAAGAAGAAGCTGATGAAGATGAAGGAGAATATCCAGAAGATTATTCTGAAAATGAAAAGTAATAGAAAAACAAATATTGTGGCAATAGTACTAATCGAACATTATTTTCTGTCTTGCATGTTTAATAATAATAGACTAGATTTATTCAATTCATGCAGTTTCTTTTCTTTTTCTTTTTCTTTTTTTCTTATTTCTTAAATATTGTGTTTTCTAATAGTTAAGAATTGTCTTGTTTCGTTTTTCATTTTTTATTATCATATTCATATACGAAACGAATTTGCATAAATGAGATATCATTTATTCTGATTACGATAAAATAAAATAAATAATTTAAATCAATATAACACTCTGGTTTTATAAGTAGTAAGATACTGATAAGTAGCTTTTTCTTCTCAAATTTCAAAATAAAGAAATCGTTCTTGCGACATGTACAACTTACATAAACTTATATCGAAATGTTCTCATTCAAGATATAACAATGATCAACATTAGATAATACCTGATTAGTTAAATTCTAGGAAGATTTAATGAGGAAAAATTTTCAATTGATTGTGAATTCGACTCTGTACATAAGACAGATTCTAGTAAGGTAGGAAAAACTTAAGAAGTACGAGTTTCATTAAATCTACTCAGAGTTATAGATAATTTACTGGAACTTTAGTCTCTAGCATGGTGTATAACAACAAATCGAATGACAGTAGTTTCGAACTGAGACTTTGCCTGCGGAGAGATCTACTTGTCAGTAGGATACTCAGAAAATCACTCATGTTCTATGAAAGATCCTACAATTTTCTGTGTTGAAATTTTCAGAGCATTCTGATGATAAAAATTTCAATAAAATGCGTATAACTCTAGATAAAAGGGATTTTTTGATGCTTCTTATGTCTTACTAGGACCTACTTTAAGCACATTGTTCGGACTCAAAAACTATTGTTCAATTGAAAATGTTCATTTGTGAGATGTTGCAATACGATCACATAGTTATCGATTGTATCACATATGATTTTTGTCATTCATTTTATAAGAGATATCTAAATTTTGAAAATGTGAATCATAAAAATTAAGTTGTTCAGATAAAAAAGTGTTAATTGAAACAAAATTTCTTGTTTTCATCTTATGAACACAATTGTTGAATTCATTTGCAATAACTTTTGTAATAGACTTAAACTGATTTATCGGACAAAAGCATAAATTTATCCGATCAATTAACTTTAATACATATCTGATGTATTATTGAAATAAATGAAAATGATATAACTGTCTATATTTACGAATAGTCTCTCATAAAGCATTTTATCAAAGTGTAAAGGTTATTCAATATATCATTTATCATTACCTGTTATCAAATCAAATTTTTTTAACATAAGCTCTATATATTGCTAGCCTACTAACCTGTTCATGAGTGTTGATCGCAATATAAACATACAGTCTACTTGTTTAGAAATAATACATAACTTATGAAAATATAAGAAATGCATATATAGGTCAATGTTCTCTAACTTAAAAACAATAAAAAGATCAACCGAAGTAAATAGAATTTAAGTTTGGATATCAATCATAGTTTTTTTTTGTATGTCATATTTGTATTCTTCGGTTTCTTACTATTCTTCTTAAATGCTTTTCATAGAAGATACAATATTGGTGTAATTCATATTGAGGATTACTACGAGATGATTATTAGACAAAAGTATGTCAGAGAAAATACTACTTTCGTATATAATCAGGATTAGTGTAATAAGATAGATCATATTGCTTATTCGGATTATAGACATAGATAAGCTTACTATGAGGTTGAACAAAAGAAGTATAACCTATGGGATATAGTAATGCTTGGCTTGACATAGAATTGATTAATACATTTAATGGTATTGTAGTTTCGACTCTTAGTTGATAAATTCGATGGTATAGTGTTTATCATTTGATTGTATTTTTCATGTTTTTGATAAATAAATTTCAAGTAATAATTTAAACAAACATTTGTATTCGACGTTTAACAAAAAATCTGATTTTTCTATTTGATTATATACTATACAATTTTTTTGAATGATCATGCTTATAATGTAATTTTTAAACAATCTCGAACGAAGAAATCCAATTAAGATATGACTTAATAACAAAAGCATCATATAACATATAAGCTGCTTGTAATAATCTTTTGCTAATTCATTATAAGATCGTATTCGCTGAATTTAATTTATGATATAGTTGACATACTTCCAATTAAATATTTCGATACAGCAACAGATTCTTTATCAGAATTTTTCATTCATTGAAGAATTAATTTTGAAACAATATGATGAACTATGATTAACATAAAACAGAAGAAGTATTTTTGTTTTTTACTTGTACTATCATCATTAATATTAATTTCTTTATTTATGTGTTTGTCGATCTTCTTCTATCACATCGAGTAGAGAACGAATAATATGTTGATGTTGAAGTTCGAAAATATTCGAATAATTTATTTTAAACATTTGGGCATCAATAATATTTCGTGAATCATCATCATGACCAGATTTCGGTGAAATAAGCACGTCAATCTGAATAGAATTTTCCGAACAAAAAAAAAATCGAAATCAATACGAGATTTGTTTTGACATGTGATTGTACAGCAAGAACATGTCTGTCGTAGTAGTAAACATTACCGCATAGAAAAAAATGATCATTTTCATAAAATAATTAAATACATCATACGTTATTATTTTATTTTTTCATGAGATACTTATTTATAAATAATACACCATAATCAGACCAAAAACCAAGACACAAATATAATAAATAATCTTTTTTTTATTTTATTAGCATAAAGAATAGCAGTTTTATTACGATCTTGTTAAAAATATTATTGTTTTTCCTGTAAGACCTATACCATCAATACGATACATATAATCTAAAATAATTTAAGTCATATTTATTTCCTTTTTACCTTGAATTGTCTTATCCATATCATAAGCACTATGAGTAGCAACATCTGTTGCGGCAAGAATATCTTTTTCACTTTAGTTTAATTGAACGAAAAGCTAAATTTCGACTTTCTTGACCTCTTCCATCCTAATAGAAATAAACAGAAAAAAAACTGAAAAATAATAATTCGGGCAACAACATTCAGTTAGATTACCAATTGATTCAACATAAACAGATGCTAAACGATAACGACGATGTGTACGTGCTAAACATTTATTGTTACTGTAAGCAACAATGTTCGACGATATTATCTTTTGAAGTAAAATCTCTTAATATAAAACAAAGAAACATATTTTCTTTGGTTATCTTGTATCGTCTACAGCTTCATTGTCTAGTTTTTTATTTGAAACTACTAAATATTGAAGAATACATTTAACACCGGCTTCAAAATCCATTAATATGATAAGAAAAAAAACTAACGAGAACCAAATAAATAAATAATTAAAATTTTTCTTACGAATCATTCGATCAGCTTCATCCATAACAACATAAATAGATTGTTGTAATTTCAAATAACGATTTTTAAGTACATCAATAAGACGATCCTTCATGTACCAACAATAATTTGATAGTCAAGATGAAGTTGACAACTTTATTCTCCACTAGATAAACCATTAATAACGAAGACGACAGTTATATTTAATGGCTAAATATAAACAAAAACTAATCAATGTATATGTCGTAGGACAGAATAGAACTCAGTTCAGTTGTCAATAATCCTATTGCCCATTTAAAAAACATGCGAGTGAGTATTGTTTTGAATCACTTTTGATAGAATCACTATAGAGACCTGCAGTTTTCACTGTTAGAATGAGGAAAACATGCCTCGTAAGATAACTAAGACCATTTTTCAAAAAAACAGGTGTCCATTCAAATTGGTAAATGGAGATCTACAAAACTGCACAAGGTCAGACATTTAGATTTACCGTTCAGGAGTTATAGGTATTTTATTCGAAACTCGTCGCTGATTTTTGTTTTAGCTTCTGTGAAAAAATTGGTCTATTTGCATTTTTCTCATTTTAAGAGAAACCAATTTTCCGGCATTTTTTCAAAAAATTGATTAAGAAAACATTTTAGAGAAGCTCATACTATACCATTCGATGTGTGCTCATCTTCTGTTTCTAACGATGAAAACTGCAGCTTTTTATCTTAGGTCTATCAAAAGTTATTCAAAAAAATCCACCCGCTCTTTTCTGAGATGAACCATAGTTTATATTGAAATCTCAAGACGACCCATGTAAAAAATCTAATAAGAGACTCCATTCAATTTTTCTACATGGGAATACGAATATTGTATACTTGTAGACAACACAATCGCTCAAAATGATACAATAGTCTACATAGAAGTCACTAAATAATTTATAAATAGTTTTGAGATCACCATCGATCATGTTAATCATATATAGTCACTATGTGTACGAATCTCCTACACCTAGGAAAAACTTATTCCATCGAATCTTGATAGTTGCAATTGGATCCCATCGGAATTTATAACAATCCCAATCGAAGAATTCTTTTATTAGGATTCTATTGAATCAAACAGCCAAACTAATCGTGCTGTGAAGAAGAACATACCTATAGCAAGTGTGAAGAAACATTTTTCGTTATCGTAGATTGCTATCTGGAAAATTTTTAGGCACTTGCTTGTGACCAAACTATCTGCAGCAGCTAAACTAAAATCATTTTACTGGACAATCATGTCATACTTCAACTGTTTAAACAGAGGTGGAAATTATTTACAGGGGATCTACACCAGCTCGGAGATAATGTCAGTGTCTGTTCGGGGATAAAATTTCAAACAAGCACAGAAAATATTTAATCAAAAGTAGAATATAGCAAAATGATGCTGTGTAAAGCGATTCGAAGTGTAAAACCTCTTTATTAATATATTTTTATTTATCCTTTTCGAATATTTCAATTAATTGTCTCGATATTTTAATCTGAACTAGGATAATTCAAAAGTCAACTGAATTCTATTTTGTCCTGCGATATTCTACATTTGAATAATAATGAAACTTGTTCTAACTCAAATTCAACTATTTCTTATTCAATTTATTGTGCTAATTCACGATTTGGTGCTAGAATAAGTGCATTCAAT